CTGCGCTGGTTCTACGTCATGGGCAAAGATGTTGGTAACGCGAAGCGTCCGGGGTCGTTCTACGAAGACCCGAACATGCCCGAAGGTTGCTTGCAGCAAAAGTCGACCAAGGCGTACTCGAATGGCTACGATCGCGGTCACTTGGTCACGTCCAACCACATGGATACGGACGCCACCATCGCCCGCGAGTCACACTACATGAACAACGTTGTGCCGCAAGTGTCGACCTTCAACCAGGGCATTTGGGTCCAGACTGAGAAGCTTCAAGAATGCTACCGTGACATCAATCCCGTCACGACGTACGGGGGCGTCGTCTACGATGCCAACTCGGGTACGCAGTTTGTCGATGGCTGGGGCATCAAGACGCCGAGCTACTTCTGGAAGGTTGTGCTCACGACGGACCCGAAGACGGGCAGTGACAAGATCATCGCGTGGTTCTTCCCCAACGAGGAAAACCTCGGCAAGCTGGATAAGTACTTGGTGTCGGTCGCCTCCATTGAAGCACGGCTCAACGACGGTCTTGGCCCGATTCCAGTGCCAGAGGGGCTCAAGAACACGGTCGAGTCTGCGACGTGGGCTCTTCCCGACAACTGCGATCACGGCCGCCGCTTGTTGTAAGCACACTCGACACTCGGTGCAGAGTCGTTTTGCGAAGCATAGCACACTAAACACTGTGTATAGTTTCAAGACTGCTAGTATTTGGTAAAGAAAAATAGAGCAGTACACTACATTCGATACTATCGATGTAAAATGCAGTCTGGGTGGGGCGCATGCGAGTCTTACGGTCGTGGGCATAACGATCACTACTGAACGCTGCCGGCAAGCTGCACCCTGTTTTTTGCGCCTTCGTCAATGACCATGGCGACAAAAGGGGAAGCGGCAAACTTGGTGCCGACGATCCTTGAGCTTCCTCGTCGCGGAACAGTTCCTCGCTCGTTTAAATTTGTGCTCTGGATTTGGTCCTTCCGCCGAGCCTCGCCACTCACTCACGTAGCTACAAGCTCAAACCCTAGCAAAAGATATTTCGTCGTTCGCTTGCGGTAGCGGCCACTGCAAGAGCCTACAATGCTACGTCACTTTGACGTTCTACAACATGCACAACAGAAGCACCACATGGGCTACATAAACTATTTATCTGAAGCCTTCGTAAGCGTTGGATATAAAAAAACATCAAGCCTTGCCTGCTGTAGCTGCACGGCCGTTTCAAGTTGACGCTCGACAGCACTCTTTACGAGCTGCTCTACGACGACGCTCTGCCCGACGCTTACCATTAAGATTCTACAACCACCGTGATGAGAGCCTCTCATCACGGTGGATAACGTTACCTCTCATTGTGAGGTATTCAGGCGTGGCGAGAACAATACTTCTGTATCCAAATTTGTTGCATGGTAACATTTTGGTTTTACAAAACTAAAATGACGCTATTGCGGGGACGGCCGCGCATGCAGCATGGCCTCCAGCATGAGCTCGTCGTCGGCATTGATCGCATTGCGCTTCATCTGTGCGACCGAGACCCAGAAAAAGAGCGCAAAGGCTAGTCCTGCGAGGACGACTGCGGGGTACGCCATCGCATCCGTGTAGGGCTTGGGCAACGCATCAAACTTTTCGTCAAAGCAAATAAGGGCGCGGTTGGCCTTGTAGAGGCGCAGAATCTCGCGGCGGCAGCGCTTGGCCTCGGGGTATGCCAAGAGGTACGGGTATAGCTTGGCGCTGGCGCTCATGATGCAGTAGCTCGCCATTGGGTCGACTGTCGTCAACGGACAGTGCTCTTGGACCCAGCTACCGAAGCTCGAGGTATCCTCGGGCGCGGCGACGAGGGCGCGGCACCCGTCACACGCCACGTCCAGAGATGGCTCGCTCGTCAGCACGCTGGGGGCGACCGTCGCGCAAAACTGGGAGAGCGTCATGTGATCGTCAATGGCGACGCCAAGGAACGACGATGTCTGGAGCAGCGCGGCGATGCGCTCGTGCTCGGTCTTGTTGTCGAAAATCAGAGGCTGGACGAGCGTCTTGCGCAGGGGAAAGGCGTTGCAGTACGCCTTGCCCTGCTTGGCGCAGTACGTATCTTCAAAGGCCGCGAGCTGCTCATCGCGGCTGTCCCACGGTCGCATGGAACAGTCCGAGTTGGTGTCGGCGAGGTACCCGCGGTCGTAGTAGTATGCATTGACGATGCCGGCTTCGACCTCTTCAAGGGCGGCGCGCCGGGAGGACACGGCCTGGAGCCAGTAGAATTCCGAGAAGGCGAGGATGAAGATGGCGCCAAAAAGGGCAAACGCAGCCAATAGCACGAGAAGCAGTGGCGCGAGCGACGCCAGTTTGCTCGCCATTCGGACGCGGACGAGGCCAGCGATGACGACGCAGAGACCGCCGAGTGCGCAGGACGTATAGACGTCGGCGTGCGGAATGAGTGGCCGCACCCACGTCGCAACGAGGACAATCGGGACGGCGGCAAAGTAGATGGCGCTGAGGGCGCTCCACGCGAGGTACGCGCGAAGAGGCCACGTGACGAGGTACATGGCAATCAAAAACTGACGTTGGGTTGCCGTTCGAGGCTCCACGTCTGAGACTCAATGTCCTGCGCCGTGTGACACCCACGTGTGTCAACCAGCATCTCTGCAGCGATTTTATCCGGCTTTTAGGTAGTACTTGCGTGATAAGTTATCACGCAAGTACTACCGGTACTGCGCAGCATTGGATCGCTGAAGTACACGAGTAGCTACGAGCTAGTGCCGTATTTCAATTGGGAAAGAGAAGCGACGGGGCCTGATACCCTGTCCTAGAAGTTACTACTGTATTGACATGGCTACCTCCTCATGACGCGGATCGGGGCCGTCATGCACAGCGGGTGATTTCACCGATGAGACTGTGCCTCGGTTCGTTTTTGCCAATTCCATGCAGGTAATAGTAGCACGCGGAGGCGCCATCCGCGAGTGAGCATGCACATACTATAATGCCACCGACGACGGACCAGACCACACAGATGCGGATCCTCGAGCGAGATGGCCCAACCATCTATCGACCAGTACGAGTCTGCGCAATGGATTGGGTCGAAGGTAAATGCTCAATGCTCTGGCAACTCGACTAGGTTGCATTCTGCACCACGAGGTAACGATGAGTTTTGAGTTGCAAGATAGCCACCCTTCCACGCGCACACCTGCGGCGGTGGCCGCCGCCACGTATCGTCAGCCCGACCACATTCTACCGCGCTACGGCTCATCAAGCTGGGAGCCGTCGTGGCTCGCACCCAGCTCTACTTCCTTGGCGATGACGCCCAAGGCTGCCCCGTCTGTGGTGCTCCCGAGACGTACGAACGTCTGCTCGGCTGCGAATTTGTCTCCACGGTCTGGGCCGTCTTTCGGCCGCTCGTCGACGCGCTGGAGCTGGAACTCCCCTCGACGCTGTCTGCGCTCTTGTTTGAACCGCTGCTGGTGAGTGCTCCACACCGTCTGGCTCGCCTGAAACGACCGAGTCTTCCGTCCCGAGGTGCCTGAAGCGGCCGCCACTCGCGCCGCGTTCTTGACCAAGCTGCAATTTCAACATTTGCTGCTGAATATCCAAGCGCTGTGTCTCTTCAAAATAATGAACGTCCTGCGCCACGACGCCTGGCTTCGCGACCACCTCGTTCCGGCTTGCGCCATCCATACGCCTCGCCTTCGAGACGGCTAAGCCTCGCTGCTGCCGTCAGTCACAACACGCTCTGAATCGAAAGCTCACCTAAAAAACAGATCATTGTACACAAATTACATACCGGTATCTAAATAGACTCACTTCACACGTGAACAATTACAGTCTGAACTTTACTAGATGATAATTGGGAAAGTTAGGTACTAGTACGTCTGCTTTTTGCTTTCTCCTATACATGTATTCTCAATGATACCCCTCGCTCCACACTAGTCGTGAAACCGTCTACAATGGCGTTGAAGGGTAGTTCAGACGGGTGCATTTGACGTTTAACCCTAACTAAATGAGCCGTTTCATCGCGCTTCTTCCTTGTGTTCTTTGTGGCACATGCCGAGCGTTGCCTTATTATGGTGACCTTCTTCAGTGACATTCGTGTCCGGATGGGGGGGATGTCCGGATAGAAAGAATCGGCGTGTCGGGATCGAACCGGCGACCTCTGGAGGTGGAAGCAGGAATCATACCGCTCGGCTCAAGCGGCCCCCGCGTTGAAGGGTTAAAGGTCGTTCTCCTGTGTCTTCAGAGCGTCTCTGCCGCGTACGGAAAGCAGCCCTGTCGAGAGGGATCCAATACGGTACGGCATTCGTCGCAAGCAGCATACACCGCTGTATAAATGCAGTAGTGCAACACAAGGAATCACTTGTAATTGGGCCGCTGCTACCGATTGTTTCGCTTTCTGGAGAGCTAGGACTCTTCAGAAACTGCTTCAGAAAGATACCGCGACTGCAAGGAGGACATCATGCATGCAATTCCAAGGAAGCATGTGTTTTTGACAATTGCCATCAGCAATTGCCGTGCAGTCAATAATCACAGTGGCCTCGGCTCACCTCCAGGATGTGCATATTATGAGGTCCTTGCCAAGGGTCAATTGACCAATGTCCTCGCATTGCCTCTTCCTTACCGGTAAAACGATGCTACATGTGCTACCAATAGCTTTATCGATGCAAAGATAGTTACTCAAAGGTGGGAAGTAACCTGGCCAGTACCATCGTACGGCGATCTTGTGATGTTGGACCACAACCGCAAGCCAATATAGAAACATACAAACGCGTACTATTATTGTCTAAGTTAGTAGTAGCACTTTACTGCATCAAGGCGGCAGCGACGGCCGTCATGGCAACAACCGAGAGCGTCGTGGCGGCAGCGGCCGACGGCGCCGGGGTCGTCGTCGTCTTGTTGCCAGCACCACCGGGCACGGTCGTGATCGCGGGCGCGCCCGTG